TGGCAAAGCCCGGTGTGTGCCCGATTACGAGCACCTACAACCTCACATACGAGGGTGAAGAGGTTGTGATTGATGCACAGAGCGGGATAGCAGGCAGAATCGCCTGTCCTGCCGGTAACGACATCTTCCATTTTTTTCCCGAAATTAAGGATGTGTCGGCGATGGCTGGACGAAGCTCCAGAGAGTCGCAAATGCTGCTAGAAATTTTGTCGGGCAACACTGACCCAACGCGGTTGAATGTGAAGTCCGGTGAGCCGGCCCCCTTCTTGTGTGGGACGGTTCCAGACATTCTGGGAGGTTGGATGTCAATGACTCTAATCTCAACGCTCTTTGAGGCCCTATACGGGATCCATAAGTGCACGAGTGTCGAGGTGGCGACCTGGGCGGGCGCTCTCGCGAAGGAGAGCCCAGCGTACCCTCCAGTCGAGCTCCTAATACGGACAGTCTGGAGGACAGATGGCACGACTGTGCGCCCGAACGAGGTGCTTTTTGCGCGGTCCACCCTAATCGGGAGGGACGTGCCGTTCAAAGTTTTCAAGCGTTGGGCACTGCGTGACCGAACGCCTATCGGGCCTTTGCTTAGGCCGATGGGAGCAGCAGAAGTCCCTTATACGGGATACGTGCTGCTGACGATGGCCGAGTATCGGTCCGCCCTCAAAACGAGGTGCATTCGGAGGCCTGGCAAATTCGCCATCACAGTTTTCCCCATGCGGCCTGAGCAGGTCTGCAGGGGGGAGATCATGATTGGGATGGAGGGCGCAAAGGTGCCTCTCCTCAAGTTACCCAGCCCCAATAATGAGGGCGAATTTTATGTTGACGATCGCGTCAAATACATGGACAAGCGCCATGTCGTTGTGGCCGTTGACCTAAAGTGGATGGCCATCGAGGAAGCCGCCGGCATCTACAAAACCCGACGCGGTTTGATCGCTGTGCGAGAGGAGATACATGCGCCCTTCTGGCGCGCATGCTATCTGCACCAGGAAGGGGATGTAATATACATCCGTCCCTGGGCGGTCCGTGAGTTGAATGTTCAGGGACCGCGGAGAGGGGTGTCATTTTCGTGGGACAAAGCTCCCATGCATGACTACTGGTGCCCTCGGTGCGCGCATTTGAATATGTATGGCACCATTCTATGCAATGGTTGCCATCTGCCGATTTTTTATCGTGAGTGGGTGCCAGGCACCGTCCGCTCTCTGGTTAGGAGTGGGCAACCAGTCTGGTTAGACGGACTCAAAGCAGTCCGTGCCAGCAGCTGGTATGAAGGGGAGACCGACGCATGGGCTCCTCTCATGGCATCGGTAAACCCGATCCGCGAGGTGGTCAGCTGTATGATCTCCGGTTTGCGCTGTGCGCCGCACCTTGTGCACAATCCCAATGCGGATGTTGTGCAAGTTGCGTTTCAGGAGGTTGCAAAGGTCACCTCAAAGGACACCCACGCTTCTGTGCGTGCGAGTGATGAGGCTCTCGAGCGGTGGGTAGCGAAACAGCTGCTCATCGAGGAGAGCAACACTGGCGTCCCAATTCCCGACAATATGTCTGTCATGACATATTTGATTGAGCACCCGCAACAGGCGGCGCAATGGGGTCGTCATATGACGAGAAAGGGCAGTCTAAATTCAGCATTTGCCCTTTACCTCTCTGTGCATATTTATGATGCCTACCGCATCGGAATTGAGGACGGATATTTGGTTCCGCTGTATGGCCTAGGCGCCTCACGCGCGGACATCATAATGTCATTGGTGCAGGCTGAGCGACGCCTCGCGGACTTCAATAGTGAGGACCCAAGTTTTGATGCCTCCACTGTTCTTGATTGGAGCATCGACTCTCTGCGGGCCAGTGGTGGATCCATCACGGCCCCGATTGAGTATGCTGAGGCATACATTTATGTCGAAGACAACAAGGTTGACATGGTCCCCGCTGCACAGCGCGACGGCCAATGCGCCATTGTTTTTTGCTGACCCACCGACTGGGAAACACCATAGGCGGGCAGCCACTCCTAGGGGAGATCAACGATCTGCTACCCCGCGACCTGAATCCAGGTCAAAGGGAGATCAGCAAAAGGGCAAAGCCCCTGCGCAATCCTGGCCCAAGGGTGGAGGTCACAAGGGTGACCAGTTTCCAGGAAAGGGTCACAAGGGTGATCAGTACAAAGGCAAGGGTGGCCAATACGGCTACCAACAGGGACAGTTCGGTCGTGGCGGATCCGCCAGATCGAGAACTCCCACTGGCGGGTATCAGCCTGATGCTCGCGGGTCGGGATTCAAGGGCGCACAGGCTGCCCCTTACCCGTTCCCGAGTCCGATGTATCCCACTTTCCCAATGGGAGGATACATGCAACAGCCCATGGCTGGCATGATGCCACAAATGTGGCCTGGCGCAATGCCGCAGGGTTGGCAGCCGCATATGCAGGGTGATCCCCGCGAGTTCGAGAATCCGAACTCGCCGCATACCCCTACTTGGGGTGACGGTGACAAGTTGGCCGAGACCGTGCCTCCTCCCCCTGGGGACTGGAATGCCAGCAAGGGGAAGGGGCGGCACGGCGGTGGACGACATCGGTGATACCTGAAGTCTGTCCATGCGTTTTGCATGGCTGCGCCAACGCGCGCATGCTTTCATCCCGGAATTCACAAAATGGACTATGCTCCTTGTAGTATTTCTTTGTCTGGGCTATTCGCCGTTTCAGAATTCAATTGCATGCGTAGCTGTGCGCTATTCGCGCAAGCTGCGATTACCTGTCAGGTGTGCATCGCCGCAGCAAGGCAGTCACTCTCGGCGGCGTGTATGGCCGCTGGTGATCTGCATCCACCTGCACCGCTGCTGCTGCTGGTGATGATGCTCATCAAGGTGCCGAGGTGAAGATCACGGGTGCCCTGCACCGCTGCCGGTGATGTCCTACTCGGACCTGAACCGCGGATCGCTGCTGGTGGTATCCATGGCGGTTGTCCTCGAGTGATCGCGCGCCTAGACGGTGCTAATTTATAACCAAGGCTCATTGGTCTATGCACCATGTTTCAACCAACTGGCCAATGCGCCTAATCTAATAATTAAAAATTAAATCCACTTGAATCAAATGGTTCAATGTGGTTGCAACGCAAATGACAATTCTTTGGCTTCATGCCGGCCATTCCGAAGTTGATCCTTTGTTCTTTTCTTTTGTTGCTTTCTCTTGTTTGATTTGGCTACGGGCGAGAATCCGCCCCATACCCGTAATTCGGGGTGGTGGCGGGATCCGGGCACCAATGAGTGCCCGGGTATGGGGTCGCGAACCCTGGTAGCCTAATCGGCTTTGTTTGTCTTGTTTATTGCATTTCAACTTCAATATGGCCAATGCGCCCTTCCAAATTCACTCCTTCTCTTTGTACAGGCGAGGGGGGTGTTTTTGGGGGCATGTAGTTTTATCACAACATGTTTCAACGCCGCGGCCAATGCGCCGTTTGGCTCAAGTATTTACCACGACAAACCACGCCGCCATAGCGACAGTGGCTGCCTGCGGCGCCGTACCTCGTCTTGCTCTTGAAAAAGGGCAGGCCGTGGGCTGCGGCGGTAGGCACGTCTTCTGGTTGTGGGTCGGTGTTTGTGTTTGGTGGTGTTTGCATTGGTTTGCTTTGCTCGTTCGCTTCGCTTCGCTGCATTGTTTGCCTGCTTGGTTTGCCGCTTTGTGCTTGCTTTCGGTTGTCTCTGCCCTTGCTGGGTTCATTCATCTCTTGGTTAAAGGCACCCTGTTTTGGTTCGTTTGTTGTGCCAGCCGAGGGCACCGCTTTGCCCTTGGGACTGGGGGACTTAAACAATCTCTTCTTGTTGGTGGGATTGGGCCTGTTTATTCTCTCCCGAAACTCTGTTTCAAACCCTTTCGCAAAACATAATATGGCCATGGGGCATAGCCTGTGGCTCCATTTTGGGGTGGATGAATATTCATTTGCCACCTATTTTGATGTTTTGCAGGGGTACAGGGTTTTGACCCACAGCCATATGAGCATTACTTGACATAGAGAGTGCCTACCACTCTCTTTTTGCGTGGCCCATCCAGCTGGACACTGGACCACTTCAGAAGTTCCTTCTAAACTTCCTTTTCCAAGGGGTACGCGCATTCCTCGAGTCGCGCTGGGAGTGGCTTGAGGAGTACCTTCTGTCAGGTCTCAGAAGACCCGCCGGAAGCCAAGGCCAGGTGATTGCCCCGTCTTTGGTTCGCAAATCGAGGCTGTGGATTGACCCTTATTCCTTAGCTTTGTTGGATTGCTTGGATGTTAGGACTTTAACTTGTTGCCAACTAAGGGGTTTTCCATTAAACCACTAGAGGTTATTCACTTTTTGCAGGGGAGCAGAAAGCAACCGAGTTAAGTGTTGGGAAAAAGGGGGCGAGTTCCGAACTTCTTCTTAGCCAGAACGCGCTTGATTTCTTCGAAGACCACTTCCGGTCACTTGCGTTTACGGCTGGGAAGGATGCGGTTTCTTTGGCTGAGTTTTCCACACAACTGAATACCAGCGCAGCCATTTGAGGCTCATGACTATTTGATAATGAACTAGCTGCAACGTCGGGGCCTCAGCTAAAATTCGCAGCGGCGCTGTTGCATGTTTGCTTTTTGAGTGTACCTGTTTGGACTCATTTGGCGAAGACACAACTTTCCTCAGGGGACGCACCTAGTCGGATCGGATGCGAAAATGATGCCCTATTACGCCTTTCGGAGGCGTTTGTTGGGACCAAGGTGATTGGTCGCGAGCGGCTAAACCGCTTATGGTCTCTGCATATGATGCCTGCTTTCTGGTCCTTGCGCTTGCCGCATCCATCGCCGCAGCTTTGGCGTACAGTGGCATTTGTTTGTCCTGTTTCTTGGGGTGGGGATCCCTTCAAGATGATTTTTGGAGAGGGGTTTCTTTAACATGAGTTTTGGATTGTTTTTTCAGAGGGAGTCTCTTTAAGATTCTGTTTGGAGGGTGATTTCTCCTTCCAGACCAACCAAGGGTGCTCTTTCTTTCTTTGCTCCAGTGAGGTGATCGTTGGCATGGTGGGCCCTGTGAAAGGAGGCGGAGGATCTTTGAGTTCCACCTTCACCTGGCATCCCATCTTGATGTCCATTGGCTTCCCCTGCCTGATGATGATGGGGCGATGGGCCTACGTCACAGACGCTCTGCCACGTCTTTTCCACCCAAAGTTACCCTCCGTTTTGAGCCACTCAAGGTTTTGGGTGGGCTCTTCTTTGAACATCAGCCCACCAAAAAGGGTGCCTTGTTTTTGCCCACTGCCCAAAAGTCAGGACTCCCTGGGTGACAAGGAGCAGCAGAGAAGCGTACACGGCACAATCATGGCCTTGGCAACACTGGCTGCGGTCGCTGGGTATTTGGGCTATGCTCAGCCACAGACTTTTAGATGTGTCGTTTAGTTTTTCACGCGATCTATTTCCACACCCCAGCAAAGCTTGGACCTTTAGCCAGGGATCGATGAAGCACTTGAGGTATGTGTGCATCTTCCTCGCCCACGTCACGAAACGCTCCTTCTTCGGCTATAACTTTGCGGAGCACACGTGGGCGCAACCCACGCGGGTGGCACATGACCTTATGGGATACGGCATCCTCATCTTGAGCCTTGGTTGTTTTTTCAGTGGGCCTTTTGGCTGTTTACACATTTGGGTGTGTGCCAAGATAGGGGCCACCCAAAATGGTAGCTTTATGTTTGGTTTCCGCTTAAACCAACCTGGAAAGGTTGGGTCCTTGAAAGCATGCAAACACACCCATTTGGAAGTGCCTACGTCTTGCTGTCTAGCCAGCGCATGGTTTGCAAAGAAATGCTGCAGAAATCTGTCTTGCAGATCAACATGGGGCGCAAAAGCAACAACGCCGTGTCCAGAGGTATCTCCGTTTGGGATCGGACACCCTGTGTGGTTGTGCGTGTTATTTTTGTTATTTCGCGGGAGAGTCATGCCCTAAATTGGCCCCCGAACACCAAACGTCGAACCGGAATTCCTTGGAAGGCCATGTTCTTATGTTGCAGAGGGGCCCTGCCTCGGAATCCCCAGAACTGCCATAGGACCAAGCCACAATGGGCGCCTTGACTGGGGACCGCCGCTTGCATCGGTCGGTCGCAAGGACCCTGGCCCAAGCCTCCATGGGCCTCTTCAAAGCCACGAAAAGCGCGGCGAGCTTCAAGTTCCACGGGAGTATGGGCAAGGTAAGCGGCGCAAGGGGCGAGAGTTGTGTGGGGCACCGAAGGGTCTGCTCTGTTTCGGGAAACCCATGTTGGTGGGTTTAAGAGGAAAATGACATGAACACCACCATGTTTGCTTTTTCTGGGGGGGGGAGGGCCCCTAAAAGAGACATGATCCAAATGACGTCATGATCATAGAGCAATGCTGTGATTTCATTGCGCCATATTGCGCCCTTTAGGTACGACTCTCAACAAGTAGAATGTTGAATTGGTTGGACCGTTTTGTGGACATCATGACGCATGATGTTGCTTGGGGGCTAAGTCTACCAGCCATGTTTGAGGTTTCCGGTTTCATGAAAATTCACAGACACGTGGGACAGCTCTCAGATCCGTTGGAGCCTTTAAAAAGCCAAAGGAAGCGAATGTGAACCAACACGACGTCAATCTTTGGATTGGGTCCGATTCATTCTGTTGGGACGACAGCAGGAGAGCCCGGCCACGTCCTTTTGTGTCGCTGGGTGCCTCCCGTTTGGAGATGTCATGTGAAGACAAATCCAACCCCGGGTTGGACGTACTGGAGAGCACACCTAGGCGCCATGGTCCAAAGATGTGATCCAAACGAGAAAAGCCCCAATGCGTGTCATCCCACCATTCCCGACAACAGCGTGCGGGAAGCCGGGCAGGTCATTATGGTCTTGGCTGCTGGGAACATTGTGCTGGCCTGCTTTATTCAGGCGCAAAAGGGGGGCTGGTTCCGTTGTTGAGGCTGTGAACTCTTGGGATGTTGAATGGCAAAGGAGATCGGATGCCGTGTTGCAGGCATCCCCTTGAAAAGACACCCATGTCGAGCCTGAACAAGTGGACAAGCTTGGAGCACACGTCACCTGGGTGGTTTTGGTCTGGACGGATGTATATTATGTGAACTTGGTGTCACCCGTGGGATGCTATGATAGAACCCCCCAAGAACCGGTTTGCCAGGGCTGGTTCCAACCCAACATCATTTGGGCTGGCCTTTACCATCTCTTATATTTTGCGAAGCTTCCTAGTGCTGGTTCAAAAGAGACCTCAAGGAGCAGTGCCCCGAAGTTCCTACTACCTGCTCCAATCCGCCTGGCATAAGATCTAGCAATCCCTTGAGCAGCTTAGAACGAAAAGTCACCGCTCAAAGGAGTTCATGTTTCTCTGGACACCTATGGGGGACCCTGTCTTTGAGCCTCCGTGTTTCTAGGCCCAAAACCAAGAAGGCAGAGAGTCGAAACACTGCTTGGTGGAAACATCGGGTTTTTGGTTTCCTACATTCACTCCCATCGACTTCAAACGTTTTGGGCCTGGGCCGTTAGTGGCAAGCAAACAGTTTGGACTTGTTGGCCAGTCCCCAAGCGGTCGCGCGGTCAGGGCTGGTCCACGGCCTACAGAGTCCTTGTGGCGGGTCTGGTGGTGGCGGTCACAGCCTGCGCAGCCTTCTGGCCGGCACAGGCGATGGGCGTTTCTCAAAATGGGGGTGGCTTTTGCGAGGGCTTTTTTTTTGTGGTTTGAAGGGAAACCAAAAGCAACCCACCGTTCTGAAAATTCCCCCAAGAAATGACGTACGCAAATGGGAATTGGTCACCTCAACTTACTTGGTTTCTTGTTGGTTTCCCTTCAAAGACCAACCAAAAGAGGGCCCACCATTTCGAGAAACTCGCCCTTGACAGTTCCCAGCCATACGGTTCCTTAGACTTTTGGCCTTTGGGATGTTGGAGGGATTCATGACATTGAGATGAACTCCCCACTAAGATTAGAATGGGGTTGTGGATGCTACTAAACCCAAAAACTTGCAACTGGATTCGGACTTTGTCAGGGCGAAACAAAACTCCAAAGAAAAACACACACACACACAAAACACCAAAAGCAACAGTAAATGCACAAATTCCCAAAGAAACCTTGAGTCTGCAAGAGGCCCTTCATCTTCCTTGTGCCCGATGCAGGTCCAGCCAGAGAGCACCCCTCTCACAGAGTCCAAGGCGTGAGTGCAAGAGTGCGGATCCTTTAGCTCCCTCAGACGAATGCTTGGCCGTCGCCTGGCATACATGTATGTAGATCCTGTCTCTGGTTTTGTGGTATGGTAGTTTAGCTCCGGCGAACCGTCGCCTGGAATGTATATAGATCTTGTCTCTGGTTTTATGGTATGGTTGGATCCTTAGCCTTGTTATTGTTGTTTTTATCTGCCAGATCTGCCTCATGTGCGGCAGAGTTTCCTTAACTTCAACTGTTCGGTCTGTACAAAGTTTGCTGATGCTACATGCAGGCTATGGCGCCCATGTGCCCTACGTGAAGAAAACAATTGTTTGCTGGCGTGCCTGTCGCAGGAACCATGTAACAATGCAGGTCCTGGGGTTGATGGTTTGAACATCTTTCGAGCCGATCTTGTTTGAGTTTCCCTTGTACTTCGGAGTCAGATGAGGATCCCGGGAGCACTGCATTTCGCCCTGTGCGCCCCTTTAAAGCGACCAAGCGAAGTGAACGAGGAACGGCCTGTGGCATCACAGAAAACCGTTATTTCCCACAAGCCTTTCTACTATTGGTGGGCACGGACTCAAAGCGCCGCGGGAAGATTGGAAATGCATGGAAATGCCGTGTTCTTGCCCCTTGCTGTGGTTTCGTTCCAGTCCACATTTAAATAGGGTTCCTGCACGAGGTCCGCCTTCGTTCGCTGCCATCCATGTATGTCTACACCAGGGTGAAAGTAGACGGCACAATGTTCTTTGTCGGGGTCAGTAGATGGGACGACCAAACCGAAATGGGGGAATTGTTCTCTCTTCTTTCGCCCAACTGCAAGTGGGGAACCCGGATGGGTTTAAAGCAAGCTGGAGCGCATCACAACTCCAAAAGGAGTAGCCTCAACAAAAGAGGCCAATTTTTGAAAGGGAGAGGTATGTGTCGAAATACGTGGATCCTAAAAATGTGTTGTTGTTGGTTTCCGTTAAAACCCGACAAGGGAACCCTCAAAAAGCACACAGAGACATACACGCTGAGGGCTTTGGATTGCCACTGAGCAGGAGCAAGTGTCCAAGATGGACGTTGCCATTGGCATCTTGGCCGGAGGGCTGACAGCTAGCGGTGCAGGTGCGGTTTGACGCAGAGGGTGGGCCATTTTGTTGAAACGACCACAAGGTCCCCCAGCTAGGTGCCCTTTTACCGTTTCTTTTTTGGTTGGAGATTCGGTTCCCCTAAAATAGACGACAGAACAAAAAATGGTACCCTTATTTTAACCTCTCCACTGGAGGACCTAGACCAAACTCGGCAAAGCACAAAGGAGCTCCTCTTGAACAATCGTGTTTTTTACATGTATAAGCAAGGGTTTGGCCCAACCCTGCGCGCAAACCTGGCAGGATGGCAATGCTTCAGGCAGAACCTAGTTGATTCATTGACCAGCACACCATTTCCTCGAAGTTGTGCTCGGATCCACGGAAGAGGGCTGAAATGTCATGTAATTGGGCATCCCATGTCTAAGTAAGGCGGGCTTACAACAAATCCCCTCTACAGAACATGCCTAAAGGAGTTGCGGTTTGTTGTGTTTTCTGTGCCACTTGTAAAGCTGTACCTAATTGACAGACTTATGTTGGTGTTCCCTTTACGAGTCCCTTCGGTAGATGCTGGGTTTCGTTCAAGTAGTTTTGCACAACTCTTGAAATGGTTCCTCCTGAAAGAACCAGAACCATGATCCTTACCAAAACGGAGCACTATAAAAACGGTTGGACCATGACACATGAGTTTGTGTCACAAGAAGGCCCCTCAAAATGGCTGGTTTCCTTGTCCCTGCTACGCCAATCCCCCACAGAGGTTTTGCCGCTCGCCCTCAGGTCTGAAGGATGGTCTTCTGGACGTGGCCAGCCCTTTGCGTGTGAAGACGCGGACAGGCGCGAGCTTTGGAGTAGTCGGCGTGGTGCGTCCCGCCTGCGATTCGGTCCCTGGAAGCCACTGGTGGCAGCGCATGCCAGGCTGTGGACCATGAGCCTTCGCAGTTGGATACCACGGCTGCTTGGAAGCTGGCAGAGGCCGCTGACCGAGCAAGCCAGCTTTGTAACCATAACGCTTTGCCGTCGAAATTAATTCGAGTGGCCTGTCGGCTGCAACGGAAACACCGAAACTCGCACTTCCCTGAGCGAAGCCTGTTTCGCTGAGTGAATCTCCATGGTTCTTGAGTTTCTTGACTTCATACTCTCTTCGGGAAGATCCCTAAACAATAAAGAATTGCCTGCTCATTCCACTCAGGAAGTGAGTGGCAGGATGGCGGGTTTTGCTTGCACACCTAATTAGCAGCTTCCTGCTTTCACAGCCTGCTGAGATGTGAAGGGGCGAGTCCAGCCGAGAGATGCCGAGTTCAGATTCAGCGGCCAAGCAAAAAATACAAATCAGAGGCTTGGTCTACCAACAAAAAGAAGGAGAGAAACCAAAAGCAGGCGCTTAGCATGCACAACCCGATTTGTGTTTGTATATGCCTCAAAAGGTGTGGTGTTTGGGGGGTGAGGGTAACTTCAGAAGTACCCGCTAACTACCCTTACCATTGTGGGAATGAGGGCTTCCCACTTCTACCAGGGAATGTAGGCCTTTCATTGGTACTCCCAGCCCACGGTCCTTGGGAGTATTGATGGACAGCCTCCGCAACCTCGGTTTGGAGCTGCTTTCGGTTTGGGGCTTTCATTTGAGCCGCAATCAAAACCCGGGTAGATGAAGGTTAGTAAGGGAGAATCCCAACCATAAATAGCTGTGGCTGCCTTCTTAACTCTTTACATGGCCTCCCAGTTGCGAGTTCGCCGCGACCTTTGGCTCCAGAGAGAGAGGTGCCAGCTGCAAAGTGTTTGGCCGTATCAAAACGCGCGGCCTGCAGCCTGATTTCGCATTTTCTCAAGGGCGCCAAGTGCAGGTCGCCAACGGACACCTCAGAACATATCACTTATCACCCCAAGGTTCCACACGTTTTGAAGGACGACTGCAAAAGAAAGATTTAACCTTTGCATCCGAAAGCATCGAAGCCCTGGGTCTCGCTACAGACGTTGCCCATGGCCGTCCAAGCCTCAGTATCCGAGTCATAGGACCCATAGGGCAATTTTGGCCCTTAAGGTCTTGAAATGGCCCCAAGCAGTCAAAAGTATCACCGGGTTTTTCATGGCCCCAAATCGGTGACAGTCACCAGGGTCTGGCCCCAAATCGACGAGTCGCTGGGTTGCCGGAGCTGCAGGCTGAGGATCCCAAGCCCTCTGAAGGCGGGATGCACCAGACGTCCTATGTGTGTTCGTACGTGCAGGACAATGTAGATATATTCAGAATATACATGGGTATATATTGTATAGTATGTGTATATTATACCATATATATACACATTTTATGTGGTTCCGCGACGGTTTCACATATATATATATATGTATATATATATATGGTCAGCCCCCCCCCATGAACTACCTTTCCTTCTTTCTTCATAAAATGACTGTAACAACACTGTGTTGTCAAATAGTTTTGAGCTCTCTCGACCATAAAAACAATAAAATTCACAAAACAGATTCCGTTTTGAAATGCCTTCTTGCAGACATAGTTCAAAGTATGAAAAATAGCAAAAACACCTTTTGTTTACTTTTTTTTCAGATGCTACCACCACGGGTGGTAAAAAAGCGCCATGTTTTAGCATTGCTGAGTAATTTCCAAGCTGTGAACACTTTATGTTTAGACAAAACTAAAAAAAGCGAGGAACACCAAAACCAAACAAAAAACCTCGAGAAAACCAAACAAGCAAAAAGCCATAAGAAATAAATAAATTAGAGAACCAAAAAACCAAACAATTGAGCCAACCCAAGATTCTCCTCAGAATCTTGGCTTTTTTTGTTTTTTGGTTCTCTCGCAGTGTTTTTTTTGTTTTCCTCGTTTTTTTTGGTTTTTAGGGCCGAAACAATAAAACACCTTGGGTTTGTTTGGTTTTCTGATGAAAACACAACTCGAGGAAAACCAACAAAAAAACTTCAGAAAACAAAACAAAAGTTTGAGCGAAACCCAATATTCTCGTCAGAGTATGGAAAGGGCATCATACTTAAAATCTAAAGCAACATACACATTCAAGTTCAATTATGTCCTTCTTCAGTTCTATCAGACTTCTAATTATATATTTATTCAATTCTCATTAAACATGAGTCACATCATATTTGAAGTATTCCCTTGTTAAGCTCTTTTCATGGAAAGGATGCCTTTTTAGATTATAATTGAAGATTGAAAGTACACTGGAACTCTTTCCTTATTGAACTCTATGTCTATTCTACTAGTTAATATTGATTTCATGTCGAAAGGAATTCCCTTTTACATTATCATAAATAATGGGACATGTAATTGAATTGTGTGCTGTTTACAGTCCATTTAAATTCTAATTAAACTTCAATCATAATCCAATTTGGCATACGCAGCCTTATAAGGACCCGTGAAGGAAGCTTATAAGGAGCTTTACCAGAAACTGTATAAGGAGCGTTATGAGCAGCTTTTCAAGGGGCCTTTTAAGGGGCTTTACAAGCATCTTTACAAGGAATTGCAAGCCTTAAATAAAGCTTCATAAGGAGTCGCGTAAGGAGCTTTATAGGGAGCTTTGTATAAGGAGAGCTTTTCAAGGAGTGTAAGGAGCTTTGTCTGGAGCTGTAAAAGGAGCCTTATAAGGATCCTTATAAGCTCTGATGGCTGCGGGCTACTCCAATATTCACACATAGCCTGTATGTATCCAAATGCCCTTCAGATAAGTAGAACTATTGACCTTGAGACATTGCCCTTCAGATAAGCAGAATAGTTGCCCTTCAGGTAATTGAGACATTGCAACAGCCAAAAGGCAGTTCATGGGGGGGGGCCTGAGAATATATATATATATATATACACATCCCCACACCTGCATATATACATATATGTATATATGTATATATACACATACACGCACATCAGCCCCCCACCAATGGTACGTTTTTTTGCGAGCCCACAACGAGTGCGCCCTGCATCCTACAACCTGCACCAGCGCTGCTACGGTCCCCTGACCCTGCCTTCATCAAGCCAACCGGCAACCAAGCCTAAACCGAACCCAGCCTAAACTGAGCTCATCAACCCACCAAGCCTAAATTAACCCTAAACAAAGCCTAAACCAACCACAAACCAACCCCAAACGAAGCTTAAACCCACCCGAACGCAACCCTAATCTAGGCTATTCATGCATACATACACACATATTGAGAAGCACATGTACGCGCACGAATCGTGTATGATTCGCGAGAGTTTGGTAGGACTGACTAGTACCCCCTCAATGAATTGTCAGCGTGCGGGTTTCTATCAAAGGAGCCATGACGCTGACTGTCTTGAATTTCGAAAACATGGCGCACGTGACCAACACAGACTTGTCAGGCTCGTGTGTCAACCCGCTCATCCAGAGAGTAGTTTGCTTCCACATCAGCCTTTTGTGACAGCTTGCTTTCCCACGCTGTGCGTTTCCCTGGGGGTAAACGAGCTCGCCCACGCACGCACGCACGCACGCATACATGGGGACCGCCCCGGCTCCCGTTGCGGGACGGTTTCATGTTGCACGGAAAGTTTTCCTGCGAAGGAGAGACTGGAGCTTCCGAACCCTCCGGGGCCGGGCGCCGGTCTCAGTGAGAGGGAGAGAGAGAGAGAGAGAAAAAAAAAAACAGAGAGAGAGAGAGAGAGAGAGAGAGCGCTGCGGGAGGGGGGGGGCGGGAGGGGGGGGCGGGGGGCTTGACGTCAAACTTGGATTGAATTTGGAGATGGAAGGAATGTCGCACACAGGGATGTTCTTCCAAGACTCTGGGAAGGTAAGACACCCGCAGGAAGCGCCATCAAAGTCCAAGAGCACGGAATCAGGTTCTCAAGCGGGTGCATGTTGCAGCGGCTATTGCAGGTGTGCATTTGCCCTTGTGAACGTGGGTGTTGACATTCAGAAGTTTCCCCCAAAGGTGGCATGGAGTTCCCTCCTTCATGCAACAGGCGCACTGACTGCGGATCAAGAATGGGGAGCCCCTTTTTGAATGGTCTGAAAGGCAAGCCAAACGGAAACCACCTCGGAGAGTTACCCTTACTCCCACTAACATGGCACCTGTGGGAGGATACCTGGAAGATCATTTTCCTCTTGGAGAGGGTAGGCACTTGCTTTGAGAAACACCCAAATGGCGCAATGTTGTTGGAAGAACAATGACTGCGCCAGGCTTCCCAGAGTGGCAGCAAGCAGAGAGGCGGGCAGATGCCTGTGCTATCGCTCATCACGATACCTGTTGTTTCTTGGAACATCTTGGAATCACCTTGTTTCAGCTCAAAGATATGTCATTTGCAAGATGTCAACTCTAGTTTCTGCCACCCCAAAATTGAAACTCGCACTAAAGAAACCCCGCAGAAACCTTGAACCCTAAACAAGACCCAAGCAATCCCTTTTTCCAACCCAAAACCTATTTTGTTGTTTGCCCCCCTGTTGCGGTGGTTGCCATCGGAGATCTTGGCGCGCTTTGCGTTGCACTCGCCATGGGAGTTGTCTCCAGGCCTGTGTCCCTCTAAGCGAAGGCGCGATGCTGGGGAAAGCGGGGGAACCCGAGCCGGACGGCCAAGGCTCGAGAACTGGATTGTTTCCTTTCACGTCCTTCTATTTGGCATCACATGGTCTTAGCCCTGGGAAACCGGTTCCAAGTTTGGGTTTATCATGTGGGGTTCTGCAAGGCACCCAAACGGCATCCACCCGCCTTTTGGGAGGAGCTTCTAGTTTTGATTCAAGGCAGGCGCTGCGTTTTGCGTTTGGGCGGTGCCCAAGCCCCCGGGCTGCGTGTAAGGCTGCCGCGGTTCTCCCGTCGTCGGCGTGAGCAACGGTGAATGCTCACCATTTGTAGGGGTATGTTAAGACTTACACGAACTCGGTAGAAGGCCTCTGGCAACATGTCGACGGGAAAATGCATAGGTTGATTTATGAATCCCTGGTATGCACCTTTGTTTTATGGGTGG